TGCAATAAAGGCTGCTTGTTTTTGTGGACTTGTGTACATTAGTGCATTTTTCTGTCACACACAAACACCAGTTACAGCAGAGTGTAACCCTGAAGAATTAGAAAGTGAATTCTACTTCAGTAAATTAAAACACTACTTCAATAATTATTGTGGGCTGGGCATATCGCTCAGCAGCATAGCACTTAGCAAGTTTGATTCCTGATACAAAAAAAATATTGAGCTCTATACTGTTTAGAATAATGGTTCTCAAGGCTGACTTCAAGTCAGAATTACATCAGTGTTGTTTTTTTACTGGAAATTAGACTACATCGGAATTTTTTTTGTTTGTTTTTATTTTAGGGAAGGGTCTACAGGGTGTTCAGTGTCTCACTACTAAATTGGACTCAAAGTGATCTGCCAGTTTATAGCCTCCCGAGAGCTAGGATTACAGGCATGCGCCACCACACACAGTCTGAATTGCTGTCTCAATGTGCCCCAGGGGCGGGGCCAGCATAGCAGCCCTGGGGATCGAATCCCTGGCCCCTGTGCCTGCTTGCAGGCACTTTAATCCACTGAACTCATTGGTCAGCCCTACATCAGAAGTTTTTAAAATTATGGATTCTTGTGCCTCAGCTCAAATCAGCTGGATCATTACTGGTGAGATATAGGAAGTTAGTTTTGGGGATACTTAGATCAAGTTTACCAAATAGTTTAGTGCCAGTTTATAGTTGGAAACGATTTAAAGCTATGTTCTATCTAGGTGCTAGGAATATGGAATTTGAAGGTTGGTAGTAAGAAGGATTCAACAAACCCAGGATTAAGTTTTCAGTGTATATACTACAGTCAGGGACTTTTTGTTGGTTTGTTTGAGACAGGTTTTCTGTGTAGGCTTTTTTTTTTTTTCAAGCTGGCTTGAAAGCCTTTTCTATCTCCAGTTGGCCTTGTACTTACACACACTCCTATTTATTTATTTGTCTTTTTTTTTTTTTTTTTTTTTTTTCCTGTACTGGGAGTTGGAACTCATGACCTCACATGTGTCAGGCAGGGGCTGTGTTGCTGAGCCATATCCTTAGCCAAGCACTTCGAATCCTGCCTCAGCCTCAGTACTAGGATTACAGGTATGCTCTATCTACAGATATGCTCTATCTTGCCTGGCTTCAAAAAACCTTTCTTTACTGTATATGAGGGACTGGATGAGACACCGGCTATTCTCAAATAGGACAGCGAAGTTTGAGCTCCAGTGAGTACAAGGTGTTCTGAGAACTGACTTGGATACTGCAGTCATTTGAGACCAGGAAAAGTTTTGGTGAGTATGGAAGGAAGAGCAGAAATTGGCCAGGTATAGAGTCCTGGGTGGGGAAGTGGTGTTGCCAATAGGAAGCTACTGACTTGAGCTAGGAGATAATGGAGAGTTGGGAAGGGGCGGTGTTTGCACTTCAGAAAAGTTGATAGTTCAGTGTGACCAGAAGGAAGAGCTTAAGGAAAATACCAGAGACATCAAGATGGTGTGATGGGGGCGGCATGGGACCAAAAAAAAAAAAAAAAAAGATGGTGTGATAAGGGTCTTACATTCTTTTCATCTGCCTCCAAGTCATTAAAAGGTTTAAAAACAAAGTATCAGCTAAAATGATGATGTTGCCTTATGGAACAGCTAGACTGGAGATAAAATGCTGAGCTAGGTGATAATATTTTGGTGTGAAATCAGTAGGAGATACTGATAGATTTCAGAAATGAGGTAAGTTTCCAACAATTAGCAGTAATACTGGAGAAGGAAGAGTCAAGTTTCTGATGTACCACCCCCGCGCAGCCTATTTCTCCGTTTTCCATTACTTCCCCTGTCCCACCATGACACAGGTCTGTTAACCCAGGACAGTTCTGCCATGGCCTTCTCTGAGTTCATGAGATTGTTACACTCCATTTGGCTCTTTATGATTCTAGATTTCATTTCTAGATTCAGCTAGGCATGGTGACACATACTTGTAGTTTCAGCACTCAGAAGTCTGAGGCAGGAGGATCTCAGAGTTCAAGGGCAGCCTGGGCTACAGAATGAGTTCAAGGCCAACATGAACTATTAGTAAAACCCAGTCTCAAAAAGAAATTTTGGTTTTTCTTTGTTTTCCTCCTTTACGCTATAAGCTTCAAAATGGTATGGAACCTTAACTGTTTTCACTGTTTTAACCCCAGTGCCTAGAATAGTATTAGGAATAGAGTAGATACTCACTAAAAATTAAGTGAATTGGTTACATATATAGATTTGAGAGTCATCAAAATATAAATGGGATAGATGAGAATACCTATGTCTAAAGTAAAAACTGCCAGGACTGGGGAGAGAGCTTGGAGGTCTAAGGGTCTGCCTGGAAACAAAGACCCAGGTTCAGTTCCTGGTACTGCATGCTGTGCTGGCCACTGAAACCAGGTATGGTGGCAGCACACCTGTTATCCCAGCACTGGGGAGGCTGGGACAGGATCGCTATGAGTCCAAGCTATGTAGTGAGACCCTGTACCAAATAAATGATTTTAAAAATTGCCTGGATCAGTTGTTCTCCAGCCATGAGTGGGTTTTTTTTCATCTATATGAGAAACAGGATATTTTGGGAAGTAGAAAGATGTCTAGGTTCTGCTCCAAAAACATCAGTGAATGAGGCCTGGGCACTTAGAAAAATCCTAAATGCTTATAGTTTGGAGAATCAGTATGTTAGGAAGAGAGAAGCTTTGGTCAGAACCTCGAGAGAGACTTGATATTTAAAAGATGAGCTGAAGAAGATCCTAAAGCAATAACCAGAAATGTCAGTCGAACCCAAGGAAGAGTGGATTTTAAGGCAGAATCTAGTGGAATCAAATGCTTATATCATGCCAATTCTTGTGAAATATAGCATTTATTATATTTATTAATATGGGAGTTGGGGCTGGCCAAATAGCTTAGCAGATTATAGTGCCAACAAGCAGGCTCAGGGGCTAGGGGTTTGATCCTGGGCCTGCCGTGCTGGTCCCACCCCTGGAGTACACTGAGAGGCAGTTGAGACTGGGTGTGGTGGGGCACGCCTCTAATGCCAGCTCTTGGGAGGCTTTAAACAGGCGGATCACTATGAGTCCGATCTAGTAGTGAGACCCTGAACAAAAAGACCCTTCCCTAAAATGCAAAACAACAACAACAACAGTAACAAATGGCAGTTGTAAATTCAGGGTTTCTCAGCCTTGGTACTGTTGACATTTTGTAGTGGTTACTTGTGGGAGGCTACCTTCTGCAGTGTAGATTTAACAGCATCTCCAGTCTACCCATAGGTGGCAGCACCTACCACACCCAAGTTGTGACAATCAAAAATATCTGCAGATATTGCCAGATGTCACTATGGGGAAGAGGGCAGAGTTGTTTGTTGAGCATCACTTCTTTAGTAAAAATAGTTTTGGTGGAGAATTCTGAATCCAGACAAGTGAAATAATGAATAATAAAAATTGGAGAAATGGAAACATTTTTTGTGGCTAATTATTTAATCTTAATTTTATAAAGGATAAATGGCAATCAGGTGATATGAGAGGAGGCAGCAGCTAGACAGGGATATGGCAGTTATCTTTAAGGCAAATGGGATTTGAGTATATTTATATATTGTTTAGAAGGAAAATGGAAATAATCCATGGTCAGACTCCTTGAAGCAAGGGCATTGGAAACATCTGTGGAGGATTTATTTTATTTTATTTTTTTGCAGTACCTGGGGATCAAACTTGGGACCTTGCACTTCCCAGGCAAAGTCCCTGGCCCCAAGAATTTACTTTTGAAGGAAGTAATTAAAGGTAAAGATAGGTATAATAGCAAACAACTAACTTACTAGTTTGTGGGTGTGACCCTGCTATATGCAGGCTATATTTTATTAACTCATTTAAATTCAACAATCCTGTGCAGTTAGCAGGTATAAGGGACAATTCACAGAAGAATGGATGGTTATGTAAATGATTTAGATTTATTATTGGGATAGTGATTTTCAGAAGGTGCTGTGAGGAGCAGAGACATTGAGGTTAAACAGCTTACTCCAAGATCCCATCTCCAGTAAGTGACAGAGCTGAGCTTCTAATCCAGGCATTTGGCCTTAGATCCTATGCTCTTAACTACTGTAAGCTCAAAGTACAAGGGATGTATATGGGGAGAGGGGCAAGTATCAGTCTATATGGATACAGTCACTTTACTCCATCTTTGATCAGCAATATGGTTGTCTCAGTTACTCTTGTTGCTGGGACAAATAACCCTCAAAAGGAAGGAAAGATTTATTTAGCTCACAGTTACTGGAAATTTCAGTCCATACTCGGCTGACTTCAAGGTACAGCGGTAGAAAGCAACCTTTCATGGTGGTGGCAAAGAGCAGAGAGCAAAGGGCATGGCAGCAGCTCAGGCAGCTAGCCAGCCTTTCATCCCTCCTTACATTGTAATGCCGATTACCTGCTCCAGGGCAGGTGCAGCATCCTCACCAACAATAGTCTATCAGAAACTCCAGAAGCTACCTCATGACTGCGTGAAGCTTTGGGGGGACCACTAGACAAACCATAATGATGGTTATGGGAATAAAGCTTATTTGATTGAAGGTAGGTCCCCTCCACTTCCTGTATTGGACATTTGAACTCAGGGCCTTTTAGCTGAGCTACATCCTCAGCTTCTCCCAACCCCCTTTTAAAGATAAGATTTCACAAAATCATTAGCCCTTTTGAGAGTGCTGGGATACTAGGCACAAACCACTGCACCTGTCTAGGGTAAGGTTTTTATTGGTTAGAGAGATGAGTGTTTGATGGATAAAGTACAGATGAAGTAGGAAATAAAAAAGAGGGACTAATGAAATTGTATGGAAGTCAAATGTTACTGAGGTGAAAGATTTGGTGGTGAGTATAGTAAGAACTGGACAGAAGGTCTAGGTCAAAAAGGTTTAAGATTTGGAGATGAAGCAGTTCTTGATGATAGGTAGCTGAAGTTGAGATCAAGTATTGAGGAGTTGGGGTACCAGATGATTGTCCAGAGGGTTGGAATTAGGACAATGCTAAAACTAAGGTCTAAGCAATGAATGAGGAAATGCGGAAGTGAACTAGAGGGTCGTATAGCTGGTTGGAGAATAGGAACCTGAGACACTGATTCTTAAATAAAAATGCAACCCTGTCTTTGCCATCAGAGGTTGCATGCAGAGGTACCCTTTGAGAAGTTTCAGAGCAGGAAAGATGAAAGAGGGGCTTACATTTTGGATCCTGTTCAAGGGTCAGGCCCAAGGATCGTGATGGTTGAGTGAGAATCTTGGGACTCAAAGAAGTAGCCATTGCTTGGATTAAGCCTGCTGTTAAGAGTTTGGTCTAGAATGCTTTGTATGTGGGAAAGCACTGGTACCTTGGTAGACCAGACAGCTGATTCTCCGTGGTAGTTATGGTTGTTATCTTAAATTTAGTGCAGATTTGTGAAATTAGGGTTGATGTGCTAGCTAGGCGTGGTGGCATTAACCTGTAATCCCCACACTTGGGAGGCAGAGACAGGAAGATCTTTGTGCATTTGAGACCATACTGGCTACAAAGTGAGCTCAAGGCGAGTCTGAACTGCCTAGTTAGATCCTGTCTCAAAAAGACCAAAAAAAAAAAAAAAAAAAAAAAAAAGAAAGGATTGAGGTGTTACTGCTCAGAGGTGTCTGGCTGAGTTATAAGATTCTGGAGACATCCAGAAATACCGACTTGGGGCTGGGGAGATAGCTCAGTGGAATAAGCATTTGACTGGCAAACACAGGGTCCTGAGTTCAATCCCCAGTACTGCAAAAACAACAACAAAAAAAGCAGAAATATGGAGTAGTGAATGGGAGCACCCATGTATGTATGTGTGCCGCAGGGTTGGAGATCTGTAGGAAAAGTTCTGTAGAAGTTGAAAGCCTATAAAATGTACATGAGGGGGTGGAGGAGATGGCTCAGTAGAATAAGCATTTGCCTGGCAAGCACAAGGGCTTGAGTTCAATCCCTGGTTCCACAAAAAAAAAAAAAAACCAACCAACCAACCAACCAAACAAACAAAAAACCCATGAGGCAGTGCTTGTACTCATAGGATACTGAGGCACAAGAATGTTTGAGTTATATTGTTCATGTATCCAAAGCTGCAGAATGGGCAGCAAAGAACATCTTTCCTGTCATTGAACTTCATACCTCATTATCAGAGGGGTCACCATGATGTGCTTTATATTCCAGAATAGTGAAACCATGTTTTCACTTACTATTTAAAACTGAGGGGAAGCGCCTGCTTAGGCAGACTCACAGGCCAGGGTTCGATCCCCGGCCTGCTGTACCGGCCCCGCCCCCAGGGTGCTCTGAAAATGTGATTGAAACTGGGTGTGGTGACATATGTCTGTAATCCCAACGCTTGGGAGGCTGAAAACAGGAGGATCACTATGAGTCCATCTGTGTTGTGAGACCCTGTACTAAATACATGAAAAACAAAACAAAACTCTGAGGCAAAATAGGAATTTTTTTTTTTAGGGAAGGGTCTACAGGATGTTCAGGGTCTCACTACTAGATCAGACTCATAGTGATACACCTGTTTACAGCCTCCCAAGAGCAGGAATTATAGGTGCGCGCCACCATGCTCAGTCTCAATTGCCACCTCAGTGTGCCCTGGGGGTGGGGCCAGCACAGCAGGCCCAGGGATCAAAGCCTGGCCACTGCGATTAAAATCTGCTGAGCTATTTGGTCAGCCCTAAAATATAAATCTTGAAATGATGGGGCAGGGTAGGTGATAAATCTGAGTAATGTGCTACACTAAATTCAGAACAACTGCTGAATATGAAGTGCTCTAACATGGAGAGAAAACATCTGTCAGGCTTTCACAGAGAGCAAATTGGTCAAGCAATGGCCATGGCTCATCCACATGGCTGACACTGACAAAGGATCTACAAACTGCGGTACAGGGTTTCAGGATAAATCCTGAGGGAATTTGGCGGACTATCAGATACAAAAGCTACATTTCTTGTTATAGAAGTCTTGCTTTATCTTGGTCTTAACCATCCAACAGAAAAGTATAAAAATGAAATATAAAAAGTAAAGCCATATTAATATGCTGAGCTGTAAAAGGTTCAAGTCAACAACTTCTGACATTGCCTGTCTTATGGAAAACCTACTACTATTATGGACTACTGGACTATATTGGAATATTTTGCTGAATTCACATACCTGCAATATTTAAATGACAATGGAATACACTTCTCCAACAAAACTAAACAAAGAAAGGAGATACAAATGAATGACCATTTTGTATCTGTATACTCAAAATAGGCTAGATAAACAGCTACATTCTCTTAATGAATAGAAAGATTTGTTCTAATAATCTGCATCTTGTACAATGAATAACCACTAAGACAATAATATGCAATGTATTATTGAAACTGTCCTACTAACCTGTTTTGAAACTCTCTCATTGCTATTTGTTTCTCAATAAAATTATTTAAAAAATATGAGGTGCTGTAGTACCTGTGATGTGGTGAATGGGAATGAGAATCCATTTAGCCTTTCTGCACTTGATGGGAAGAACTTCTCCAGTATGAGTAGAGTAATTGAGGGTAGCGAGAGTCTTTTTTGACTTAGGGCTCAAGTGACATTAAAGAAAGGAGAGGAAAAAAGTTCCTATTTGAATGTTTTTCCATGTAATGTCAGGCACCGATTGGCTTATTTTTTGAGACAGGTCTCACCTAAATTGCCTAGCCTGACCTGGAACTTGTGATTCTTTTGACTTATCCTCCTTAGTAACTGAGATTATACAGGCAAACACCACTACTCCTGGCTAGTTAACTCACCCTGCAAGTTTTACCTGAGGCATCACCTCCTTCTCCAGGGCTTTTCTTTTGTAGCTTGTGTCAGTCTTGTTAGGGTAAAGTTCAGGAAAAGATGGTTTTGCAGTGTAATTGGATCTCTTAAAGGGAATGACTCTTAAAGGGAAGGTGGTAGAAAACAGGTACCTACGTAGCAGATATACTAGAGAAGTTATTTGGCTCTGATTGAAGCTAAATTAGTCTCCCTCCTGGTGATCTTAGAGAGTTGGGTAGATGTGTGTATGTGGGTAGGTCAAGTTAATAAGAAATGGTCCAAGAACAAAGCTTCCCAACATTTCCCCATTTTTCTTCAGCAGCACCCTCTAGACACAGGCTCAGCTGTCTAGATTTGTCATTAAGTTCTGGACACAGACAAGGGCTTGATTTAGGGAGGTAAATCTGGGTGATATTTCAGAGATGGTTTGGTTCTCTTTCTTTCTTTGATAGGAGGAGAGAAAAGGAGGTGTGGCTACACAAGACCACCACCCATCTAAAACCAGTAGACCTGGGCTATGCACCACCTGATGACAGGAACAGCAGCAGCGACTCAGGTGGTAGGTATCATGACATTCATTTATTCATGAAAGATAAGTGTGGATTGTCTCCTCAGAGAAGCATGGAAACTATCCTCAGGGAGAGAGTAGGCCCAAAGAACTGACTTACTTGTTGATTTCAGCAAGGGCCCAGAGCTGTTGCCTGATCCTTGGCTTCCAGGGCCCTGTGGTCCGTTGCTTTTGTTTTTGTGGTATAGAAAGATCGGATGGAAAGTCAGGAAACTTTTTTGTTTGATCTACCTTGGTGCAGGCCTTTGTAATAAACAAGGGATTCAGCTTAGCTAGTCGAAAGTCCTGGATAGTCAACTCTTCTTGGTCCTCAGGCTCCTTCCGGAACCTTGTGGGCTCTATCTTCTTTCTGGTTTTAGGTGCCTCACAGACAAAGAAAACCTTGTTCTTTAGCTTCTTTTGGATCCAGGGATCAACTGAGGCCCAAATGATTAATGTTTCTTGTAGCTGCATTAAAACAAAGGTCTGAGGGCTTTTTCACTTTGGACTCAGCCTGGGAGGGGTAGAGGCACCTAAGAGAAGGGAAGCTGTAGCAAGGAAATGGGTGAAGGGACAGTGTCTTAAGGACTTACTTTCCTTTCTGACAAGGAACATACGGTGAAGTTCATTAGAGAGATTGAGGGGAGGTGATGTAGAGAAGAGAAATAAATGGCAGAAATGCCTTACACTTTTCTTCACAGCCTGGTTCTCTTCTGCATCTAGCATGTCCAGGAGCAAGTGGAACACTTGTGGACTACGGATCCCCAGGACACCCTGGCGGAGACAGAGTGACCTAAGTAGCCAGCCCTAGGAAGATGTGCAGTCCTCTTCTTCATTCTAGTCTCTTGGATGACCTTGTGGCTTAGAGGAAGACATATGGCATCTCAGCTGAGGTAATTCTTCTCTTGCTTTTTTTTTTTTTTTTTTTTTTTCGGAACTGGGGATTGAACTCAGGCCTTTGCACTTGCCAGGGAAGCACTTATTCCATTGAGCCATCTCCCCGGCCCCTTCCCTTGCTGTTTTGAATTACTACAGAGATCCCAGTTCCCATTTATTTACCCAAAAGAGTCAAGACAGTGTCTGTACGACACACCCATCTCCTGAAGTTTTACTTCACCCATCCCCATTGACATACAGGTTATTCAGAACTCTTGATAGATCTAGAATTCAGAAATGAATCTCTCAAAATCCTACAGCTCTTTCTTCCCCTCTGTGACCCTGTTCAATTGTCTGTTTCCCTGCCATCAGTGTACCACAGGACTTGGTTCAGGGAAGCAGAGCCTGCCTTACCAGAGAGATGATTGCCTCCCGGCGAGCACTGACATTTGGGTTCATTAGTTGCCTGTGTAAAGGGAGAGTGTGTTGTCCAAGTGTGTGAGGGGTGCTTTTCAGACCCAGAGTGAGTTGGGCCTAATGCTGATAAGTGGTGTTAACTTTGATTTCCCTGTTTTGTCTCCCAGGTCAGGAAGGAGAATGTAAGAGAAAAAGCAGGTGCTATACTTTGTCACAAAGCACTAAGTGATGATCAGGACTCATCTGTCCAGAACTTCATCTTTTAAAAGTTCCTTTCAGGTTATATTTAAGTTTTATAACAATGCTGAGTGGTGTGATTAGCCTTTTTTTTTTTCAGATGAACAAAAACCCAGGGTAGGGCTCAAGGAGTGACTTACACAGCAGCACAGGCAAGGTTCTCAGGCCACTCCTCTGTTCCCCTCCCAAACCCAAGATCTGAGCATGGCCGCTCCCAGCCCAGTCTGCTTACGCTTCCACCAAGTTCATCATCAGAGGCTTCATATTGAGCTCTTCCACAGTTTCAGCCACAGCTTGCCGCATAGCCTGTAGAAGAACCAGAGCAGGATGACAGAAAGAGGGAATGCAGAGGGATGAAGGGCTCTACAAATCTTTATTAAACTCTTAATAGGGTCCCAAACTGGAGGAGCTCATAGTATGATGAAGGAAGCAGACAAGTAAGTGGCAATTAGAGCACTCTATGGGGGCATATAGGAGGATATTCTGACTCATTCTGGGTACTAAGAAGATTTCCTGGAGGAAGAAATGATGTCTCAGCTGAAACTGGCAGGGTGAGAGTGTTAAGGAGCAAAAGCCTGTGTGTGTGTGTGTGTGTGTGTGTGTGTGTGTGTGTGTGTGTGTGTTGGGGGTTGGTTCTGGGCAGAGGGGAGAGGATGGGCAAAACTGGAGGCAAGAGAAAGCATAGAGAGGTTGGGCAGCCAAAAATAGATCAGTTTAAGGAGGTGAGCAAGCTAGCAGGTACAAATCAGAACTTGATCATTCTAAGTGTACCTGATGTCTGCCTCTCAGGGGGAGAGAGATGAAGCTAGGGTTAGGCAGGGCTCAAGCTTGTGTGGCAGAGTAAATAATCCTAAGGGCATCGAGAGCCTCTGAAATTTCTTGCAGAGATAAGGCACAATCTGATTTATATTTTAGAAAAATGGCTGCAGAAGTTCTGTGGATGATTCTGTAGAAAAGATAAAAGTAAAGAAGCACAGAGGGAGGCCAGGTTGAGTCTGCTTAGCAATTTTAGAAAGCTTCCTTTGTCAGATATCATTGGGGCTGATCTTGAGAAAGCAAAATAACATTTTAATAGACAGGAAAGGGGGTGAGTCCTTTGAGTCAGTTTTTATCCTACAGAAGAAGGAGGGGTTTCGTGGGGCATTTTGAACTGAGAGAACAACCTGAGGGTAGGGAAGGTGGCTTAAAAGCATGGGCTATACCAAGGGAACAGGGAATAGGCTAAGATGAGTGTGATACTGTGGAGTGGTGTGACAGGGTCCTCCAGAGAAGGGACGGGATGGGTTTGGGCTTGGCAGCTATGGTCTCACAAAGAAGGGTTCGTAATGCGTCTTCCATTTGAGCAGGTCAAATGTGAGTTCCTCTAGTCCCTGTGCCTTGATCTTTTCCAGCCCAATGGTCCTGAGCATCTGGGTGGCTTCGAAGCGGTCCTGAGGGGAGAGTGTGTGTGAAAAACAGTTCTCCTTTCTCATGTCCCAGCCCTGTCCTAGCGTCAAGGAAAAAAGGATACAAGGCAGCCCAGAACTTACCTCAATGACAGTAGAAGAACACAGCTGGGCCAGAATGGCCCTGGTGACTGCAGCGGAGTGCACATGAATGGTCTTGACCAGCATCCTAAGTGCCTGTGAGGGGTGCGGTGGGACAGAGTGTCTAGGTGTATACCTACAGGCATCTAGATGGCCAAGTGGACTTGGGAACTGGGTGTGGAACTGGGAAACAGGTGAGGTCCTTTCTCCTGCTTCTTGGCCTCTTTGAGTGAAAAGTTTATGTGTGCACATGCACACACATACATAAATGAACGTTTACACATACCAAGTACGCATAGACACATGCACACTTGCATGGCAATATAGCCCCATCTATATGCATATGAATATTCTAAACTCATGGAGGATCCTGCTGTACTCCCAGCTGAGGCCTATTTTCTTGGGAACAAGGTTGTCAGTATCCAAGTACCATCCAAGTCAGCACTGGTGTCTGTTGCCCTGCAGAGCCCAGCCTCCTGTCCCCACACCTTCATCTGCTGGGTCTTGGTCCCTTGGCACAGGCACTGCAGCAAGAATTCTTGGGCCATGTTGCTACTGGGCCTTAGGAAACCCAAGCACAGGGCTGCCTCCAGGGCTGCTTCACCTGAGGACGACTTTATCAGCGTCTGCAGCACAAGAACGAGCTCTTCTTCATTCCCGACTTGCGTCCTCTGAGGGAGACAATAGGTGTTAGTGGGTTGTGTTTTCAGCCAGCCTTCGTGCTTTATTGGGGGTAGTTCACTGTTGCTTCCAGACCCTTCTTTTTCTCTAGACAAATTTCATGCCATCACCTTGTGACTTCACCCACATTCCCTTTTTTGTGCTGCCTGCTTGCTTGTAGCTCAAATCCCATTTCCATATGACTCTATCTTATGGATAGATCACTGTTACTTCTTTTAGCATTTCTGCTATCTTAATTCTTGGTGTTTAAAAACATATACATGCAATTGATCCAGCACTTCACTTTTAATAACTTCATGCTACCTGGACAACTAATCCAACAGACAGTTTATCATACAACTGCAACTTTTCCATAATCTCCACTTCATTAATCCCATGCCGAATATTAACTCTTTCTTACTTCTCCAGCTCATCTCCTAGTGCTAATTGCTTGATTTCATGAAAGACTAACAGTCCATTGAAACTGCTGCCTTTTCACTGCTCCATAACTTCCCTCTTCCCAACTTAAATTCCATGGTCCTAGCACAATCATTCTTCTGCTTCACTCTACTCTGTCCCCTCTTGTTTCATTGCACTCTCTTGACCAAACCACAGTCCTATGAAGTCCAGCTCTCCACTTACTCTGTGCTTGCACTTCATGGAGAAAAATCACCCTCCTACAAACTTGAGGTAGATCCTTGCTGCTTTTTGTTAATCATATTGTTTTCCCCTCTGTATCTCTTTCCCTTTTTCTTAATTTATAACCTTTCCCTCCAGAGACTCTAACACTTCTTTTTCTATTCACTCTCAGATGTTAACTTTGTTTTCTGTTTCACTGGGGGAAAAAAGCAACTAGGATAGAAGATACTTAGATGCCTCCTATTACTTCTAACTTTCTCTTCCTTTATACTTGTTGTTATGAATTATATACCCATCTGTCTAAAGCCAGTGTCTCCGCTTGTATAGATCCCATCCCCTTTCATTAACTCAAGGGTATTTCTGTAGTGACTCTTCTCGTTCTTATCAAAATCGCTTTTCTAAATACTAGACCACTGTCCCTCAGCATAGAAACATGTGATTCTTTTTCTTTTTTTTAGACTCTATCTCCAGTGCAAACTATTACCCTTTTCTTCAAAACATAGAAATTGTCCATTCTTGCTGTCTCCAGTTTTTTTTTCTGCCCAGTCTCTTAAACTCATTTTGATCAGGTCTGTATCCCCACCACCCCACTAAAATAGCTCTGTTAAGAGAATCAGTGATTCCCATATTGTTAAAGCCACACCTCAATTTTCAATTCTTCCCCCCCCCTTTGGCTATCTCAGCCCACCCTGAAGATGGAGCTAGCATGGCATGTGGTGCCAGGGTTTGAACCACGGTCCCCTGCACCTCCCTAAGCTTGCCTGAGGAGGCACTTTAGACCACTGAGCTATCTCACCAGCCCTCAATTTTCAATTCTTATATTCTTTGCTATGATATTTCCTTGACGTGTCCTTTCACTGGATTTTCAGAACAACATACTTTGGATTGTCTTCCAGTTTCCTCGGCTACTGCTTCCTCCTCTTCCTCCCGACCTCTTCACACCAGAATGCTTCCACAACAGATCCTTAGTCACTGCTTAGTGATCTCATCTGGTTTAGTGGCGTGAAGTGGCATCTATATGCTAGCAACTCCCAGATTTCTCTCTCTAGTTCAGACTTCTCTTGCAGACTCCTAATTGTTACTTGCCATTTCCCTTGGAATTCCAAAAGACATCTCAGACATGACTTGTGCCAAGCTTAACTTAGGCTGTTACTTCCAAACCTTGATTCCTTGCAGTTTTCTCAACCTTGATGCTGACTCTATCCTTTTTGTTGCTAGGACAAAAACCTGGTCTTCATCCTTGTTTCTTCACTGTCTTCTACAACTCACACTCAGCTTATCAGAATTTTGTTTTTAAAATATCCAGGATTTAATGAGATCTCACTAACTCCACTGAGATCACCATTGTCTGAGCCATTACTACATCTTACAGTACTGTTTCAGGAGCCACTAACTGGTCTTCTCTGCTTCGCTCCTGGCCTCTTCTGCCTCAGTCTTTATGCAACAGAGCAGTTAGAGTGAAATGTGAGTCGGATCACATTACTGCTCTGCTCAAAAACCTCTATGGTTCCTCATTCCACTCAGAATAATAAAAGCCCAAGTACTTAAAATAGCCCGAAAGGCCACATGTATGTTCTAGTCTGCCAACTTCTTTGATCTGAACTTTTTTTTCATTTTATGTATTTTGGTACAAGGTTTCTACTACACAGCTCAGACTCATAGTGATCCTCCTGTTTTTAGCCTCCCAAGTGCTGGGATTATAGGTATATGCCACCATGCCCAGACTCTGTCCAGCTCAGTGTGCCCTGGGAGTGGGGCCAGCGGGTCATACAGGACCAGGGATCAAACCCTGGTCTCTGGGCTTGCCAAAACAGGCACTTACTCCACTGAGCTATCTCACCAGCCCTTTGACCTGACCTTTATTTATTTTCTATTGCTTTCTCTTCCTGCCTCAGTTCAGCCACACTGGCCTGTTTGTTGTTCCCTGACTGTGCCAAGCTTGTTCTTGTCGGCATTGACTTGTCCTTCTGCCCAGGATACCATTCCTTACATTTCTAACCCTCTTATCTTCTTCATGGCTTTTGTTATGTCTTGTATCTAGATGTCCTCCCAAAGCCTCATGTACTCATAGGTGTGGCTATGACACTGCGTTCTGGCTTTTCAGAGGTTATCTGGTTAGTTCCTACACAAGTGATGCACCACTACTCAACTCTAGAGGGAACTCCCCAAGGATGGTATCTCCCATTAAAGCTGAGAGCTGGATTGCCGTATTCTGACCAAGTCTACAGTTAAAATTGTCAGAGACATTGACCTGCTTTGCCACAGTGATAGACCCTTCTATTCACCTTGTCTTCAGGGCTGGCAGCCCAGGAGTTCAGAGCCACTCGTAGGCTTGTCAGTGTCTGCATCCTGTGTCTCGCACTTTCCTTCTTCAGTTGTGTGATGAGAGCCTGGATCACATGCTTATCCAGGCAGCCTGGACAGGGAGGGGCATCAGATCAATGGCAGAGCCGCAGCTGTCCACTGAACTCCACTGTACTCTCAAGACAGAAGTTCCAAGCACTAGGATCTAGGTAGGTGTCCATTCTCTCAGGACCAGAGCAGCTGGCTGAACATGAACACAATTTCTGGAGTTTCTGTGTCTCTGTCTCTGCCTCTCTCTGTGTCTCTGTCTGTCTATCTCTTTTCTTTACTCTCTTATCTCTGTCTCCATCTCTGCCTCTGCCTCCTTTCCCTCTGTCTCCATCTCTGCCTCCGCCTCTGTCTCCATCTCCCTCTGTCTCCCTTTTCACCCCATTTTACTTCTCCATCCAACAGTACCTAGGATAATTGTCAGTCTCTGTCAAATGCTAGGTTTTCTTCTGCCCTTTCAAAAAGAAGGGACAGCATCTCTCCCAGCTCCCCACCCAGAGCGGTGACATACTCACCAAGGATGGCCAGGGTTCGATAAGCCTCATACTTCACTTTCTTTGGACCAGTTTTGGCCTGATATAAAAGGCAAGGGGTGGAAATATAACATAAAGCAATGGAATGTCAGTGCTTCAGGGACTTTCTCAGCTTTTCATGTTATGGAAGAGGAGACTAGGTCTGGAACATGACCGACCTGTCTGTGCTCCAACACAGTAGAGGCAGGACAGTGCAGTGGAAGGAGCTCTGAACCTGGGAGTTAGACTTTTGCTCAAACTATCTATCACTTAGTAGTGACTTAGGTTGGATCCCCAGAGCCTCTATTTCTTTACTAGACAGATACAGATACTAATAATTGTGCTTAATGTTGTAAGATTTAATGAGATTATCAGTAAGAATACATGCTCCCAGTTGTAAAAGGCTGTAGTGTCATTTCAGTTAATAAAGAGAATGAACTCAGGTCCAGTGCTTTCCTGGTTTTCAGTCCAGCATTTTTTGGTAGAATAAGGAAGCTTTCAAATTTCCCCTTTCTTCCAGCTGCTCTTTAAAGCAGCCAAGAGCACAAACTGGGGATATGCCATGTGCTGGGGAATCTTTCCTCATTGGCTCTGAGCTATCAGTGTGGCATCCTGGGGAGTCTGGTCTGTGCCTACATGTCCGCCCAATGCACGCCTTGGACTCTAATTCAACCTTTCCTAAGCTCCATGCAGCCCCGCAACTCACCACCTGCCATAGCGCCTTCAGAATAAACTGATCCCTCATGCCAAGATAGCCCAGAGCCTGCAGAAAGAGGGACAAAGGAAAGGGAGGAGAGCGTGGAAATGACCCCCAGGAGTCACCATCTCTCAGACTCAGCTGGAGTTTATATTTAGAACACTGCCCTTGTTCCCACCACCTACCTCCAGCTTTTTTTTTTTTTTTTTTTTTTGAAGTGGGGCTTGAACTCAGGGAAGTGCTTTTTCCACTGAGCCATCTCCCCAGTCCCTTAAATTTATTATTTATTTATTTATTTATTTATTTATTTATTTATTTTTTTGGCGGAACCAGGGATTGAATTTAGGCCCTTGTGCTTGCCAGGCAAGCGCTTATTCTACTGAGCCATCTCCCTGACCCCACCTCCAGCTTCTTGTGTCTTTCCAGATGGGCCAACTCTGAGGCATAACCACCCGTCTCTGCCTTGGCTGGTTCTCACCTGTGTTGCATAGAACTGATCATCTTCTCTGGGAGATTCCAAGGTTTTTGTGAGCTCCTACCCATCCAAGGCAGGTATGATAAAGAAAAAGGAAAAATATGAAAAATTCAAACTGAAGGGAGCTCAGGCAATCTGATTCGGCTACCTCATGGGCCAGGTTTTGCAGAGAGGGACTAAGGCTGAAGGGTGGTGTGGACTTAAGATGAAGCCACACAGGTAGGGAGCTTCCCCATGCTCCTTCCTGCTGTGGTCCTCACCTCTAATCTTTGCCATTTCAGATGATCCCTGGTAGGCTCTAACGGCCCAGGTCCCACCTGAGATTTCATAGCCAACTTGCTCATGGGGAGGTGGAACTTTTGGGTACTGTCTTTGAGGTTCCTGTGTGAGAAATAGTATAAAAAGCCGTTGTCCCCTGTTCTTTCCTCCTCAGTCACTGCTCTACCCCTGCCACAGGATCTCAGCCCAGATCAGAGATGGACCAGAGGATGCTACAGGGAGGCTCAGGGATATGCACCCCTGAGCTAAGCTGCCCTGTATCCCATGGTCCACCTTTGGACTGTGGACTGGCCTGGGTCCCCTTCTCTTCTCCTCCCCTGCCCTTCCTCTTTTTCCTAGAAGATGTGGAGAACATGGAAGTGGACAGAGCATACTTAGGATGGTGGCCTCTCATTTTCAATAACACTTTCTGGACCTCCCGTTCCTTCCGCTGGTCATACAGGGTATGCCAATGTGAGTAGATCTCAGGTGTCTTGGAGTAGCAGTAAGAGACTGAACCTGGCTTGCTCGGGTGCTGCCGCCAGCATTCCGGACTTGGGGGAAGCTCTTCCTTTGGAATCTGGGGGTACCAGTGACAGAGCTGTCAGAAGAATCCCCTGGGTCCTTTCTCTGAGTGTTGGGAGTCAGGGGAGGAGGAGTGGTGGGTTGAGGGGGTGGGTGAGACAACCTTTAGCCTCTTATTCTGGCTGAGTCATAGATCCCACTTAACCTGTTATTTAACTTGGGCAAGAAGTGATTCCATTCTACCAATCTTCTTGTCTGTTAATTGGCACCAATACCCTTGTTCTTTTTCCCTTCCAAGGGGCATCAAAAAAGATCTAGATTCTGAAGTGATTTGTAAATTGATCTGAGTCCACAGTGTGATCAGTTGAAGATCTCAGTGCATTTTGAAAAGGATATTTGAGCAGGGAAATGAAAGGCAAAGGCTGGGATGTTATAGACTAAGGGCAGGCCATTGCTCATTTAGATATTTACCGATTACCCACTGTGTGCCAAGGATGTAGTTGCCTTCCTTGCCCTTGTGAGTTTAACAAGTTAGTTGGGAAAATAGACTTTTTCCAAAATCTCTTTACTGTGTAGTGTATATGTGTGTGTGTGTGTGTGTGTGTGTGTGTGTATAGTGTGTGTGTGTGTGTGTGTGTGTATAGTGTGTGTGTGTGTGTTTGTGGGGCATCTAACCCAGTGCCTTACACAGGTAAGGCAAGTGCTCTACCTCTAAGCTACATCCCTTACTTTTAGCTGTGTAGTTACAGCTCTGACTATAGTGGAGGGTTTTGGATATGTCAGGAGAACTTTCTGAAGATTTTTCTGGGACCCATCCTTTTCTCTTTTACAGCCTTTTTTTTTTTTTTTTTTTTTTTGAGACAGGTTCTCACTACGTAGTTCAGACTAGCCTTGAGCTCACTTTGTAGCCCAGGCTGCCCTTGAACTCGCAATGATCCTACAGTTTCCTAAGTGCTAGGATTACAGGTGTGCCACCATGCTGGGCTCAGCCTCCTTATCTTTATAACTGATTTCTGTAGGCTCTAGGGGAAGAAGTTACAGCCAGAGGTTCCCACCTTAGTGACTAACATAATCATAATAAGGATATTCCAGTGATTGTCATGACTTCAGAAAATGGAAGGTTGACTCCTGGTAAGTAGGGTTTTCATATATAGCAAAGAACAAGCAAAAGAACCAAATGGGATATTGAATTAAATTTGGATTTTAGGTAATAAACGAAATATTTGGGATATGTTTATGCTAAAAATCTACTCATCATTTATTTGAACAAAATTATTTTTGGTGCTGGGGATCAAACTCAGGACCTTGTACCTGCTAGGCAGGCACTTATGCTGCTGAGCTATCTCCCCATTGTGGTATGTCTGAAGTTTAAGTTGTATTGAGCACTCAGTATTTTATCTGGCAAGCCTGAGGATCTGCTTGTTAACTAATAAGACTGAATCCCATTAGTAGTTTTACCTGCATAGCCCAGGTCTTATAGATTTTCTCAACAAGGAGCATAGGCAGGGGACCGGCCTGTGACAGAGGAAGACCCTGAGGCTTAGAGAAAGTGGTTTGTCCAGGCTCACACAAAGTTAATGGTGGTCTGAGAGGTGCATGTCAGGATTCTGTCAGGGTTGGCCCTCCTTTGGTGACACAGTTCTCAGGGCAGAGGTCTTACCTTGTAGCAGGACAAGGGCAGGTGAACAGGAGCCATGGCTTTTCTGAATTCTGGTAGGAGGAGTGAGAGTATGTATGTGATACAGATAAGATAGCAGGTAGAGGTGAGTTAAAGAATCACTCACTTAGGCATTCATCAGTCAGCATCAAGCACTAACCCCAGGTATCTTACCAGGTATCTTACCAGGTACTAGGAACATAAGCAAGGCCCTGAAGGATATTGTAGTCTTCTAGGGCCTTGCTGCTGTGGTCTATAGAATCATGCCAGCACTAGTGAGTGTCTCAGAAATGCTGCCTCAGGAATGCCATCCCAGACCGACTGAGTCAGCATCTTCATTGGAACAAGATCCCCAGACCATTCCTACGTAGTTGAAGTTTAAGCAACACAGGCCTAGCAGGTCTTCTCAACCCTGCATGCATATTAGAATCATTTTGGGGAACTTTAAAGGTTCCTAAAGCCCTGCATCATTGAATCAGATTCTGTGGGGATGGGGCCTAGCATGTTGGGTAGATCTCCAGAAGATTCAAATATTCAACTAAGGGTAAAAACTAATGTTCTTGTTCAGTTTCTCAAACTTGAATGTGCAATAGCATCACCTGAAGGGCTAGTTAAAACACAGATTTCTAGGACTCATCCCATAAGTATCTGACTCGCGATATTTGGGGTAGGCTCTGATAATTTGCGTTGCTAGTAAAGGTGATGCTACTGCTGCTTCTCCTCGGACTATGTTTTGAGAACCACTGGTGAGACATGTTTCTTAGTGACTAACAGAGGGAAGCAAAAGTGGAAATAGATAAAGATGGCATTCCAGAGAGGCACCTAGCCTGGCTGGGAGGATAAGGGAAGGCTTCCCAGATGTAGAGTATACAAGTCAAGTCTCAGTACAAGCAGGAGTTAGCCAGAAAGATAAGGCATTAGGCACTTCTGTGAGTCGGCCCTCCTATTATATATAAACACCTTATGCAAACGCTTGGAGGTGTGAGGGTTGGGTGCAGGTCAGAGTGCAGGTATGAGAGCAGAAGCTGGGGAGACAAATTCTTGTTTTCAGAGGACCTTGTAAGCCCTGCTGAGGGGCTGCAGACTTACTCTGAGGGCTGTGTGACACCAGTGTGTTTATGGCTTGCCCTATAGATTTGCTGAACTCGCTCAGCTCCTTGCCTGGGATTGGGAGCCAGATAGCCTTGCTTTTAAAGAACCCGGTCCCAGCCCCGGCCCTGGCCCCATTCCCACCCATTCTGTCCTTACCTTTGGTCCTCTCTGGATATTCCAGCCATGGATACATGAACATTGACTTAGAGATTTCAAAGATGTCCACTAATTTTTCAGAAGCCATCTTCTCCTGGTGGGGCAAGAGGGAGCCTGGGCAGTGGGTAGTTTGGGGCTGTGGGGGAAAAGGCACACAACTGGAGACCTGTTGTCTGGTACAAGAGGGACCAATGAGGTGGACAGACTTCTGAAGACAGAAGCTTCCAGCTGCTGAGCAACCAGATCACCTTGGCAAACAGAACACTCAATATTCTTGAGTCCCGCCCCTGGCCACTACTGGGCCTGTGGACCTAACTGGGCACTTTACATCTCTGAAAGTCATGCTTGCTTGCCTAAATAGAGTTGTGTCAAAGCATTAGAAAGGAAGTTGGGGAGATGGCTCAATAGAACAACGAGGACCTGAGTTCAATCCCCAGTTCTGCCATTAAAAAAAAGGAAGTCAGAGCATTCAGAGTTTTCCTTAGGATTAGTTAAATCAAGAAACTGGCAGGGAAGGGGAAAGCTTTCATGCCTCCTGCTCCTGTAGCAAGTGACTGTGTGTATAGTACAGAGCTCTTTTTTATACCTCCGACTTTTGCATAGGCTGTTCGCTCTGCCTCTGTACCTATGAAACTGTTCATAAAATCTTTCCAACTCCATAGAAATATAACTTCATCTCTAGAGTTTCCTTTCTTGCCCCTGCTCCTTATCCCACTCTCAGTGATGTAACCCCATCTCCCCACAATGGGACCACATCCTTCTCTAGAGTTGCTTCTTGTAAGTGCTTACATATTTAATATGTTCCTAGGGCCATCATCCTCACTGGACTGTGAGTTGCCTGAAGGTGAAGACGGTGACTTGTGGCTGTTCACCCCTCAGTTGTGGTCTCGCCACCCCCAGCCCCAGTGCCTAGCACAGTACCTGGCAGGCAGCTACTGTAACAAGAACACACGGGCCACTAAGTCAGCACGCTTCACATCACCAGTGAACCGACATAATGTGCACGATGTGACACACTGGGAAAGACACCACCTCCCAAATGCTATGCCTACCCGAAGTGTTTGATCTGGATATAGTTATGAGGAAATAATTAGGAAAATCCAAATGAAGGAATATTTGATAAAAATCTGATCTAAACTCTTTAAAAAATTGATGTGTTAAAGACTAACAGTATGTTAATGGACACTAAGAAGGCATGACGCCTAAATTCAACGTGTATACTTAATTGGATTCTGAATTTCAGAATAGCTATGAAGATCATTATTCAGGCATTTGATGATGGATTGTATATTAGAAAGTAATAGTGTGTCTTTGCTACATTTCCTTTGTGTGTTACCTATTTTGTGGTTATGCAATGTGTTATTAGGAGACACATACTGAAACTTTTAGGGATGTGTTAGCATATCTACAACTTTCAAATAATTCAGAAAAAAAATGTAGACACTCCCATATACTGGCACAGAGAGAGAGAGAGAGAGAGAGAGAGAGAGAGAGAGAGAGAGA